GGTTAATGTTAATTTTTACCAGATAACTAATTTGTTTTCATTCATTTCTATTTCAAGATAATATCCTTATTCACATGGAATACATTTATCTCATGCTTATTGTCACACTAATCATGATTGAACACAATTTTCCATCATCAGTTTCAACTCTCATCCATTAACTGTTGTGAACCTCTTAACCATCAATATCATCATCATAATCATCATCCTGTCTCTATCATTCATTTTCATCGCAAGAACAAGCAGAAGAAGCAGAAGAAGAAGAAGCGAAAAAAAATCCCAATTTCACAACTTTTCCTCTCTATTTGCCTCAATTCAATAATAAGCCAATTTCATGAACTCAACATGAAAACTTGAAATGAAATAAACTCTTGGTTCCCTGTCTACCTACTCAGTCCTCCTTCCAGACAGAAGTGAACATTTTTCATCTTCAATTCCTCTTCATCATCATCAAGACTGGAATGCACAGTAAACAAAAATGTCTCTATAAACAAGGTTACAAAATATACGTTTATTTGCCTCATTTTCAGTATCATTGTCAATTGAAAACCCATGAAACATGAAGCATCTGCATCTTCATCTTGATTCCCAGATCCCTTGAGCTTGCAATTTGTTTGTTATTTTACATTTTGTTTCAACTTATTTTCACTTTTTAATTTTTCACCCAAAACCTATCGGGACTTGCAAATGATTCATTTTACCTTTTCAAATGTCTCCTTTCCTCCAAAAATTGATACTAAACTTGATTCAAAATACTCGACAGTTTAAGGATTTATTATGATTGATTAACCATTTCTCATTTTAATACCTCATTCCGCATCTTAACGTTTCCTTACCTCTAATGATGTTTGTTTTTTCATTTAACTTTTACTCTTCTCAAGCCAACAAAATGTTTTAAATTGATTGTCAAAACTGTTAATGGTGATATATTAATACAATGATTATTGATGATAATCAAATTAGAAAAGTTGATTAACCTGGAAAAATTAATTAGATACATTTTGCAAGCGTCTTCACCTTCAAACTTGTTACATTTGCATCTTCAAGTCACTCTGTTATTGAATCACTTTCATCTATTACCATCAAATTCATAAGTCTATCATGAGGTTTGGTAAAGTCAATGATCAAGTTTATTAAGTTTATCATGAAAAAAAGGCAAACAATTGAAACCTTTAACATTTCACTTGCAATAATTGAATCACTTTTGTCAACAAACTGATTAAAGTGATGGCAATTTTTGGTGAAAATCAAAGCTTATATCTAATTACAGATTCAGTCTTTACTCTCAACAATTAATTAACTATAACTGATCCTACAGTTATGATTGTTAGCTTGAGACAAACTCAATTATAACTGGAATATCTAATTTGCCCTCTGATCACTAATTCAGTTTACTTGGCTTATTCAACAATCAACGTGAAAACGGTTAATTACATTGATAATTCATCATCGTTAATTTTAGATTTAAAGAAACTGTTAATTATCATTTTCAGTTGAAATGTATTTTTATTTTCATCAAAATTGCTCTTTTCAAGTCAACATTTTGGGTGAAACAAAAATGTAAAATTTTTTATAAAATGTTTCAATTTTACTGCAATTGTTGATTTACCAGGAATTTTAATCCTTTACAATTAACGTTCATTTGATGGCGTTGATTGTTGACTGTTGTTTCATTGTATTCATCAGATTTAGCCTCCTATTCAGTGCAAGTTGCTAGGGAAAGATGATCAAATGCTGTCTATCCAAACAAAAAATGGTACAAAAAAGTTCATCTTCTGATACCAAATTTAAAATCTTTCACCATCAACATCAAGTTAATCATTCTTAGCTCTTGTCATTCTGTTCAACCAAAAAGTAACTTGATTAATTACATATTTGAGTTGCCAAAAAATGTTAACGTTTTGGACTTAAAAACAAATGTTATTTAGATGCAGCCTGTTGAACAGTTCATCTATCAAAGACATGAAGCAAGTACAAAAATATTACGAAATTGAACTCAGATAAACCAAAGCAGTAAATATAGCATGGTCAATCCATTAATTGAGGCGCAAAAAAATGCGGTCAATAAAATGCAAAATTAGCCAAGTTGCTGTCACAAGATAAATCTGGATAAACTTGAACTCAACTGCGACTGAACACATTCAGTTACATGGGAAACTTGTTCGGGATGAAATGAATTTTCAAACCAATAAATTGACTAAGATAACTGTCCAATAATGTCATTAATGCCAAATAAGCCAATGACACTAAACCTTAAACCAGTGAAACCTTTGTGAGTAACTTTGCATATCACTTTACATGAAATGGTTTATTGGGTTGAAATAAACTTTAAGCAACCATCAATTCAAGTTGAATTTTAGGTTTTCAACCAATTTATCAAAATAACCCGATAATTTGTATTTAACTTGAACCAATAAAGTAAACCAATTTCACTTTTAGTTAAAGTCTGTCAGATAAATTTTCACTCTTAATATGCATTGAAAACTGGTTAAAATGGTTTACCAGATTCATCTTTAAATCTGTTGATTTAACCCAAACTCTGGTCACCTTTCACTTGATCCAGATTCAATAAACTTTGTAAAAGCCATTAATTTTGATGCAAAAATGATCATTAATCTGAAGCTAACCCAATGTGTGATTAACTGGTAAAATTGGTTAATCGTCTTTGAATTCATGTTAATATCATCATATTTCATCTTATAATCATCTTGACTCCTCATCATTTGATTATTAACAGTGACAATAAAGACAATCATAATAACAATCATTTGAAAGTTAATTAAGCCACATGAGTTAACATGTAACAGCTTTTTGATCATCATGGTTAGTTAGCTTTTGATTATAATGATTAAACCCTTTTAATGACTATGTACATATCAGCATGATTACTGGTTTGATTCACTTGAAAGGCACGCAAAACATCGCCAGCAATGGTGAAAAAAAAGAGTTACTTTGTTTCTTTAATCATAATAGTAATTATTATTAAAATAATTTGAAAAACCGTTGAAGAATAGCGAGAGAAAAACAAATAAAAGGAAATTGATCAAATCACTAATTATAATAATAATTATCAAACAATCTTGTCTGATTACAATGGTAATTAACTGTCTAGTATTTGAAAAATACAAGGTGAAAATGGTGAGAAGAAGAAGAAAAATGAACAAACTTGAAGTTGATTGTTGATTAACACTGAAAACTGAAATCTTTAATTTACCATTTAATTGTTAATCATGCTTACGGGCATTCATTTTAACCAATAATTGACGGTTTACTTTTAATCATGTTAAATTGCAAGTTAACAAAATCATCTCATTATGATTTGGCTTTTGCAACAATTTTCAAGGTTCCCAATAAAGCAAATTAACAATTAGCTAATCAATTCTATTAGATTTGAACCTTTTTTTGCATCACAATTTGTTGGTGTATCAGAACCATTTGAACACAATTAAACAAGGTTACCAGACAGACGATGATTAAAATGATTAAACATTTTAATTTGTTGAGTATTTCCCTTTCGTTGTTACCTTATTGCAATCCTTGAAAGTCTCGATTGTTGGTTAAACATTGACCCGTAAAGTGCGTTTATTGTCACATTTAATTGTCTCTTTAACATTCAATTGATTATTAATTTTCAAAGTTGATTCTATTGTTAACCTTTTCACTTTGTCTGTTGATTACAATTTGATGAAAAATTATCACAATTGAAATGAATCGTTGCAAAGGTTTTCCAAGATTATTGGAGTTGCTCATGTTTACTGGCAATTACTTTGATTACTGGTTAATTATTCGTATTACTATTTACTTTGTTATTGCCATTGATTGATCAATGATGAGACTGATTGTGATTGATTGCTTATTCATGGTCATTTTGATTGTATAAAGAGAGTTGAACCATTTCAAGAAATGTTTGCCCAACGTTGTTAATTTGAATGTCAAGTCTCTTCTCCATTTTGGGTTGAAAACAAATAATCAATAATCAATGATTTAACCAATAAATTAGGTAATCATTGATGACATTTACAGACTCATTAATTGTGATGATGTTAATCAAGTGTTTGCACTCAATTAACTCACCCAATTTTGGGTACAATTGATTTTGAAAAGTCTGTCAACCTGAAAGGAAAGCCACATGAAAAATCACATCGAAACCAACAATTAACAATTTTACCCGATTATTCAAACTGATTAACTGTTTAATTTTGCAATTTACAATCTTCTAAACATTTAGTGATGCCAATAAATGATTAATTATCATCTTTTATTGAGCAAAATTGAAAGCCAATTTGAATCCAATTGCAAAACCAAGTTGAACAAGTTTTTGAGACGCTTTTCCTTCGTAACAATAATAGTGATGAAAGTGTTCACATGAACCGGTTTACCCGGAACATTGAGATAACTTCCGAGGTTTCCTTGGATCGTTTCATGTGTATTTTGTTTACTTGTCTGGCATTGATTTGATATCTTCTAGTTTAACGGTAAAATGAAATTTGTTTTTTTTCTCATTTCACCTCATCTTTTGCCAGAAAAATGTTCATTCAATTGCTGGTGGTGATGATGATGTTAATGTTGATGGTTATGATGATGAGTTTCTTCTTCTTCTTTGCTGGTGACGTTTAAATTGTAATTAGGTTACAAATAAATGTGCATGAAAATGAATGAAACGTTTATTTTGTCTGTAAGTTGTAGTTGACATTGAATGAATGTGACTTTGTTCAAATAACTCCTTAATTACTTGTCTATTTCATTCAACCTTTTCATTTAACTTTGATTCAATCAGCAAACATCTTTTTCACCCTTTTCCTCATCTCATCACAATTCTGGTTAGATTACATTTTGCTCTTCAATTGTTTTTCATCACGTATTCACCGAGATTCAACAATTTGCCAAGTTGATTGACGAAATCTATTTTTTTTGGTCTTTTCTCACTCTTTACAAATCTCCCAATTATGTCCCCACAATATTGATTGCAATTTAATTGAAACCTCTATTTATCTTTCCAGATACGTAGGATGATTGGTTCAATCATCATGGTTGGCTCACGAGCTTTTCCCATTGAACACTTTAAACTAATGTTGGATGAACCAGAAAAACATAAATGGGTTAACCATTACTTCATGGCTCCAGCTGATGGTCTTTATTTAGCTGAAATTAAATATGATCCTAAAGGTAAGTTAAATGTGTCATTTGGTTGTTTAAATTTAATTTTAATTTTATACTTTGACTAATTTTACCATTTTTTGTCTTCATTTACAGACTTTTTGAATCCAACCAATGTCAAGCAATTGTATTACTCGGGAAATTTAGGACCAGTGCCTGTCAATGATGAAAAGGAATCTGATGATGGTTTCGATGAAAAGGAGGTTGAAGAAGATTTCGATGAAGATCAACAGCAATTTAATGATGATAAACAAGATGAAACTTTCAAATTTTTTTAGATTAAATCTTGCGCTGTAAGATTAGTCTCCACTGTTAATTACTAGATGTCACTAGAGGTTTTTGTTATGAAAATTTTGTATTGAATGGTTTAAAAGTTTTTCAAATAATGATTTTCCGATCAACCATACATTTTATTTATTGTCTAACATATTTTAATAGTGATTGAACTTCGATTGTGTGTTCTGTAAGTACATCTATAGTCAAATTATTACATTAATATGTAATTTATTCTAATATAATTTCATTTTCTTTTTACCACCAGGTTTACTGCTGTTTCCATGTAATGGATGCGATTGAAGGAATCGAGTTGAAAGGTTCATATCTTTCCTTTTTGGTTACAAACAAAGTGATATTTTGACATGTTTTGATTGCCAAACATGTAGTTAGAGGCTTTTGACAGATCAGAAGTGAACGATCAATGCTCATAATGGTTCAGATTTTGCGGCTGGACGGCTGCTTGAGCTGCCAAAGCTTCTAAATGGTGGAGGTGCATTTGATGTCAATATAACTGTCCTTATGGCTCATTATTTTATCCTGAAAAATAGCCTCTTGTTGATTCATCTAAAATAGGATCTGCGATATAAATAATTTTTCAGCCGATGCAAGAAATGTTTTGCATAATCTGTGACATCTACAGGGTTAAATTACCATTTTTCCAGGTAGATCGGATATCGGTTTAAATTAACCTACTTACAGATTCAATCAATCGATTTGTATTTTAAGCGTCAACTACATTTTTTAAATTTTATGCTCTATCAAAGAGGCTCTCAAATTAAGCTCTATCAAAAAGGGCTGCGTTTTCTGACACGGCATACAAAACTTGTCGTGAATGGAAATCGATATATGTATAAATAAACTGGTATTTTAGTTTCACAATCTCCATTTCTGATAGTGCTATCCCTTAAACATTAAGTATGCAATGCATGGAAATACACTCGTATCATCGTTTTCGATTACAACTAATTTACTTATTGGCTCTCAAAATCGGCATATAAATTCGTATTCCTAATCCTTTTCATTTTGTTCAACTTCTGGATGAATGTTGAAAACATTAAAAATTTTAGTTATTAGGATTTCTTCACGATTGCCATTCAGTAGAATATGCACCGAGCATTCCTCATTTTGAGTCCTCTAAGGTGATGTCAATAATCAAAATATAATGAAATTTAGGATCTGTTGTTTGCTGTCACCAAATAACATCAATAAGTGAAAGTTTAAGGCGATGTTGACCTCATAATTTTTATTTCCTAAATTTTCTCAGTCTTCCCATTATTCAAATCAAGCTGGCTTATTGGTTCAATCATAATCTCGTAATGCAATTTAATAATTGTAGCGCTACCATTCTCGGAATATTGTAGCTCATAATTTTAAGCCTGATGACCAAAATCGCGAGAACTGTTGATAAATTAAAAAAAGTGTTCGGTCATTGATGTCCACAGAAATTTTCATCGACATTTTTATTTCTTTATCAAGTTTCAGCTCTGTAATTCATACGGTCACAGAATCACGCCAGATTTAGCCGAAAAGCGAAGTGATCTGTTGTACATAAACAATTTTATTTCTCGAAATAAGTCCATTTTCTAATTGACCAACAAAGGTAAGTAAATCGGTAAATGGGTATAATGAGAAAAGAAAGCATAATTGAATAGAAGGCGAAATTTGAACTTTGGACTCAATTTTATCGGAAACTGTCGCTAATGGAATCAGTTTTTATGCTCCTACAAGCCCACCAAGTCTCACCTTTTCACTAAAAATCACAGTTTTTTCAATAGCCCTTAGTGCGAGTTTCATTTGCTAATGGATTATTTACAAATCAAGTAAAAAAATGAAGAGATAATTTTGGTTTACATAATGGACTCGAAGGTGTAGTAATAACTTGTAAATGATTATAATGATTAGCTGTTAAGACGATATGTTAAACAGAATGTGTACTTGAAATGAAAGTCGTCAATTGGCGATTAAAGATGCTTCTATGATAATTTGTTTAATGCTCTTATTGTCTTCTTATGGTATTTAAATGGACTTTTCCAACCCTGAACTCACTGAAAATTGCACAACCCAATAATTGCAGACTAAATAGACACTTAACCTAAGCTGCAACCAACCACTAATTTTGGTTTTTTGCACTCACCCAATTATAATCTCTATTAGATTATTGATAAATAATTTACAATTTCAAATGTACTCTTGGTTTTCATTGTTTGCTTTCGCTTGCACCAGGATTTAACATTTGCTGCAAAGAAACAGGTTTATCCATTCCTTTAATCTGGTTAAGCTATGAATCAAGTCTAAAATCTAGTAATCCGCAAATCTTGGATATTATAGGGAACATGTTTGATAAATTCACTTTGATGTTTGTTTATTTATATGATTAAAGATTAATTTATGGTAAAACAATCAGTTAGTTATTTAAAAAATGATTGAAGATTATGTAAACCAATAGTTAAATAACGCGCTTTGATGCTGCAACCATTTCGTTCTCAAACAAAGAGATTGGCAAAGAGAATCTGTCAGTTTCCTTTCAGGTTTGATCATGCGCAAGCTTGCGAGGAGGCCATTTGTTTCTTTCCTCTCTATGTCAAAATAACAAAGAAACTGTTCTTCACAGTGAAATGATTAAAGATGATTTAATTGTTTTGATTAACTTACATTGACAATCAACATTGATTTTTAATTTAATTATTTATACTCTGATCAAGTTAAATTAAAGGTCAGATTTTTTTGTTAAACTAAACCAAAATGTGTTCTCGCATGCCTACATCTTCACTCCCAGTCTCATCGTCAGGTACTAGTGGTTCATCATCTTCCCAAGGATCAACCTCAGGCCTTGGGTCAAGTGCATCTTCATCGTCCACTTCAGGTGTCGGTGGAAATGGTATTGGGACGATCAATACACCCAATGCAGTGGACACCTCTGGAAATGTCAATTTTGTTGATCAATTGAGCAGAACCAATCTTTACATAAAAGGATTGACGCCCAACACAACTGATAAGGATTTATACGGACTATGTGCTCCCTACGGAAAGATCATATCAACGAAAGCTATACTAGACAAGAATACCAACAAATGTAAAGGCTATGGATTCGTTGACTTTGAATCACCATTATCGGCTGAGACAGCAGTTAAACATCTACAAACTCGAGGTGTCCAGGCTCAAATGGCCAAGGTTGGTTTTCGCGAAGTCAATGATATTTATCATTACAAGGATAGACAGACAGATGGATAGATAGATAAATAGTTAGACAGACAGACAGACAGACAGACAAATTTTTTATATCTTACAGCCCTAAATCTTAATCTACCCGGTTGTCTTATAAAACATGATAATAACTACCTTATATTTGAACTTATCATTTTTTATATTACTTTGGGGGTAGAATTTTTGTTTGCATAGTTTATCATAATTTGTCACCCTTTTCTTTACATCTTACATATTCTTTGACATCAGTGATTTCTCTAGTCTTGCTCTCCCCTTCATCATCTTCATCTTCCTCTGGCTCATTCTCTTTCTCTCTCTTTCTCTCTGTCTTTCGTCTTTTGGACTCGCTTTTCTTTTTTATCATTCTCGCTTTCATTTTCTTATTGATGTTTTCCACCATCCCATTCTGACCTTCCGATAGTCAAGTTAATTACTGATTTACATTCAAACTTTTCTGATTCATCTTTTAGTGCACCGATACAAGTAGAGGCAAAAGTACTTCAGTTATTGCTTCAAACTCGATTGCTAATTATGCGGCTGTTACGAGTAATTCCAATGCTGTTGCCTCTAATTACTGTTCTTCAGTCATCAATCCCAACAGATCACCGGTGAGCAGGTTTCAGGCAATTGTTGTTTTATTATTTAGCATTATTTCATTTATTTGACTAATTTATCTTATTTAGTTAATCTTTTCATTTTTGTTTAGACTAATTCTTAGTGGCATTCAAGCATGCATCAGCATTCTGAGCTGTTTCTAATAACTGTTTCTAATGCTGCTATCGCTCTTATGATTTATGATTTAGCCAGTTTTTATTTTACTTCTGAATTTTTTTTGCATTCATTTCGATTTTTTTAAATACCAATCATATCTCATATTTTATTAGATATGGTAATTTTGTTTGTATTTTTTGTGTTCATTTCAAATATCAAGTCACTCCATTTATCCGATTCATTTTTAACTCAATTAATCTTGTCATATTTTTTTTCTCGACAGCAACAAGAACAAGACCCTACCAATCTTTATATTGCCAATTTACCTTCTTATATGACTGAGACTGAGTTAGAGTCCATGCTTGTTTCATTTGGCTCAGTGATCTCGACTCGAATCCTACGTGACAATTACAACCAACCTCGCGGTGTTGGATTTGCCAGAATGGAGTCGAAAGAAAAATGTGACATGATCATTCAGCACTTTAATGGTAAAATTATTGCCGGAGGAAAAGAACCTCTGTTGGTCAAATTTGCTGATGGTGGAAACAAGAAAAAGAGTCAAAATAAAAATGAAATTCGTAATAGAGAAGGTGGTGGAGCAAGTCAGCCCATGACAGCAGCTTATGCTTATCCCACCGACCAATCTAACATAAACCAAAATGGAGTAGCCACCGCACCTATGATGCCAAACATGGCTGCTGCCGCAGCAGCAGCTGGTTACCACCACCATCATCATCAAAGACAATATGATAGATGCGCCTTTGTTCCAAACACAGGTAAGATTATTTTTATTATTGAAATGCATTTTAAATTATTAAGGTTCCACTTATTTTAAATTTCCATACAAACACCAATTATTTAACCATTTGATGTTTTTTATTAGCCTTCGTCTCCTTAAGAGAGCGTTGGAAATCGAGTCAATATAGTTTTCTAAGTGATTTTCAAATTCAGAACGTAAATGTCACAAGAATAGAAAATACATGTATGACATTTAACCGTAATTATTAAATCAGTTGAATGCCATCGTATAAACATAAAATTTAAAATCATGCAGTACCTAGGAGTTGCAAAAGATTTAAAGTTAATCCATTTTAATTTCTTTTTTCATTTTCTTTGATAGCCGCTGCCGCCGCCGCTGCAATTCAAGCCGCTGCTGCGACTCAATGGATGCATCCAGGAGCAACACAATATCATCTGGTTCCACCTCCTGCTCACATGCAATCAACAACACAAGTGATCCCATCACAGCCAATCGACACTAATGCTTTGCATTTCAGTACTCTGATGCCACAGTTATCAGCTTCCATGCGTCAACTTCAGCTTTCCAGTCATCCTGTGAGTGTATTACGGGATAACCAACAGTCTCCTCAATCTCTTGGTCATCTCGATAGACTATCAACATCTTTCTTACTCAAAGATTTGCTTCGATCAATGCTAAGGAACCAAGGACCTTGAATATTTTCATTTTTTTTTATGACTAGACCTACTTTCATTTTGACTAGACTCTTATCCCCATCCCTTCCTCACCTGTCAAATCCTACCAGACTCCCTTGAAGAGTGTTTTATGTTCATTTGTCTTTTCTTCATTCGAAGAAGATTCCCTTTTCCTCTTGTCTGTCTTATCTGTCCCGAATGCTGTTTTTTACCCAAATGTCACTCCAATTTTTACTCCCGTTTTACTGATCGTTGTCCCCTAGCATCACTTGTCAACAGAACTGTGGTAACATGGTTTTGTTTTTATTTCATGTATGACCCCCTTCCCTGCCTGACAACTTTATCGCCATTATTTGTGTAATGTGTAGAGATGACATAGTAAATTGGTTGAGTTAAAGAGACTGTTCAAGCTATAAATCTGCACTTTTTTCATATTTTATCTTTATTGGATTCTTCCAATGCGTTTATTAACTCTGATTTTCATATCTTTCACAGTATATGGCAGGAACACCAGCAGCTGCCTATGCAATCGCGGCTGCTTCTGGAGCTTTATATGCAGCTCAACCAGGACAAGTGATACAACCAGTTACTCTCGCTGAGGTTAACATTTTTACAGAATTTTTTTACATATTTAAAAATTTTCTTTGCAATTTATCTAATTTTCATTTTGATTTTATCTTAGCAGGCTGGTGGTGCCAATAATCCAAGAAGTGGTACCTCTTCCGTTGCTCCCAATGATGAACTAGGACAAAGCAACGCTGCTCATCATTATCAAGTCTGTCAACCTAAATGAGAATACTTTTCTTTTAGGTTGAATTGAAATGGAATTTTATTCTAAATTTTAAATGAAGACAATTTGTGCACCTTGGTCTAAAAGTCTATTGTGCTACAAGAAAAAATAGATCAGATTCATCATTCTCTCCCTCTCTGTCCTTTTTCTCCCTTTTCTACCTGTATTTCCTTGTCTCTCGCCATTTTGTTTGCTCTTTTTTTCATCACAGTGTGATTCTCATATTTTCCGCATAAACAGAATTCATTCTTCAGAGAATCATTCTTTTCATCACTCCTTTTCCCATCTCACCTTTTCACAATTTCTTACATCTTCGTCGTTTTGCTTTTCTCTAAATCTCGCCACTCGAATTTTCCATTTACTTTCATTCTTCTCATTTTGTGACGACTGCATTAGCAAATGAACTGTGCTGCGTCAGGATTGTCTTCAATTTTAATCATTGTGACCCTGTTTTACTTACGGAACCATCTTTTTTATGTTGATTAATAACAAAGAAAATTTCAAAGAAGGCAAAACAATTTATTTCTTCTTCTCCTTCTCCTTCTGCAACGAAAAACCTAACAACACCTTTAAAGTTTCTCATTCAATTCATCCATTATCATTGATTGTTACTTTCATGAGCAATCATCTCAGCAGTGCTGTAAATCACGGATAATTTCAATTTTTTTTATCAACTGATGGATTCAAAAGATTTCTCTTCGCCCTTTGATATCGTTTTTTGGTCAACCTCAACATTATGGCTACCTGACTTCTTCATTATTCTCTGTAGGCTTCCTGAAGTGTCCAGTCAAAAACAGATAGTCAGTGTCATGATGGTGATTGCCTTAGTAAAAAGAAGACGCAGATGGAACTATTGGAACTATGAAAGAAATTGTCTCCTTCACATCTCTTTCTTCTCTTTCTTTCACTCTCTCTCTCCCTTTCTCTTTCTCTTTCTCTTCTCGTTCTGCTTGACTCACTCAAATTCCTTTTTCGTTCTCTTTTGGAACAAAAATTTTCAGATTTCACATGATTAAACAATTTGGTAAAGATGAACTGAAAAGTCCGGACGGTGAAACCTAAATAATTAGGATGGAGATTAAACAACTTCAGTTGCCGGCTAATAATACACCCTTTTCCTATTGAATTAGGCTCTTTTTGTATTCAATGCAGAAAAATTACAAAAAAAACATATTTTGACAAAAATCCTTTGTGTACTTATTGTGACAACTTATCGTGAGGAAATGAAAAAACTTTAACATGGACATAGTTATCTCCTTTGTTGCGGCAAAAACAGAGGAGAACCTGAATGAATTATCTCTACGATCATGAGTTGCATAGGCACTTGGATATCCAAAAGTGGACCAATGTAAAGCAACCAGGATTAGTTGTTACTTTTAAGAAACTAGCAAAGACGAGAATCATGTATTCTAATTGATGAATTGCTGTTCTTTAATTCAACCCAAACCCAGAAAAATGCTAGTAACAGTTTCATTATGAATCATTATCATTCATTTTTAATTGCATCGAGTATGTTTTACACTTAATTAGAATGAAACTCGAATGATGAAAAGAAAATAATCTTTAACTCTTTAAGTCATCAGCTCTAATTACAAATTATGATTAAAAAGCAACACGAACAATTTACTGGCAATGTTAAAGTTAAGTACAATTTTTACCTGAAAAAAAATCAAAAAACAATGATTTCCCAATCAATACAAAACACTGAACAACGGAAGATCGTTATTTTCATTTACAATATTACCTCAAAGATTCCATCATTTTAGCGGAATAATCCTGAAATAAATGAACTGAGTCAAATGAATGATCAGACAACAAAATGTAAGACAAAACAAGAAGATAGAGGAGAATGATGATAATGAGAAAAATCCATGTCTTCTTTTGTTGATTGACCAACATGTTGATTCTTTCTGTTAATCGGCTGATTTGTTGATCATGTTCATCCATGTTGCTCCTCGAATCACCATTGATAATTGTTCCCCCATTGTGCATCAATTTACGTCTTATCGTGTTATTATCACCATAATCATCCACGTTTTTGGTCTCATCATAACAATGGTCAGCCTCCGAAAAAGGTAGCAATTTGTGTGAATAAATGTCGTCTTTGTGCTGAACCCAAAGGGCATAAAAATCTTCAACTGTTAACCATGTTCTTTCAATTGGTAAACCGAGTATTAAAAATTTATCTTTCTTTATAGCAGATCCTGAGTCTTGGTTAAATTTAATTGTTGCAGTTATCGTTCTCTTTGGTAAAATGATTCCCAGACTTGGGCTGACAGTGTATTTTGATGGATTTGTTGACTGAATTTTAAAGGCAACAGGAGATTCCAATGGATTAGATATCACTAAAGTGGCTTCATAAGCTCGATCACAGTAATCATATCTAAACATTAAACTTTTTGATGGGTTGACTATAATACATTTGATTGCTGAATCTTTTGTTCCAGATTCTCTTATTTCATCTTTAATATCGCTTTCCTCTTCCAATGAGTCCCAAAAGTCTGAGCTTGGGTTAATATAGTCGCCTGTTTCCAAAGCTTTTGAAGCTTCTTCCAATGCATCAGCAAATTCTGGTAAAATCCTATCAATGTCTTCTGTGGAGTAACCGAATTCAGTGACCACCTGAGAAACTGGTCGACTTCCAGGAGGAATGGCTCTGTAATTACGTTTACAGGTTCCACCGAGATAGTCAGGGGCCGAGGCTTTGTCAATGAAATTGAAAATTTCATCTCCATTGGCAAATTTGATCAAACCAAATAGAGAAGCTGGTAGAAAGGAAAGAGCGGCTCGTCTAACAGCATTGAATGCCCAAGGAACATTGACAACCAAGATGTACTTAACACCAACTGGGAAATAATTTGATCCAGAATTGATGAGAAACTTTAGATAATCCCAGTCTAGATTACGATAACCAGCTCCAGTCACGTCAAAAACTACACCAATGCCATTTCCTCCAGTCATGATATCCGCTTTATTCAGAACGTGAATCAAAAATTTCCTCGAATGATCATCCAATTCAGGAATCTTGCGATGCATCTTGACCCTTATGTAAACAGTAAGGAAACCATTTCGATCACATTCATAGATGAACAAAGCACCAATCTTGTAAAACTCAATCGGGAAATGGTAATCACGAAATTCTCTGATCTTGATTTCTTTCCTCCATTTCATGGTCTCAACTATCATACGAAGAGCCTCAGTCTCATTACGATTGCGAGCCAAAAAGAACCGTTTCACGTACCAATCATCTGTTTCCAGCTTTTGGTAATCTTCTTCATAATAAAGATCTAAGGTAGAGACAAAAGAAAAACAATAAAGGTAAGTCTCTCTTTAAATTCAACATCTTTAAATTGAAACCTATCGATGGATTTAAGAAGGTCATATGAATGGATCAGATTTAATTGATCACTTTTTTCCTCTTTTTAGGTTAAATTGGTTGGTTTATTGTCTTGAAAAATTATGGTTCAACTTACCAGGATTGGTCGTGTATTCCTGCCTAAAGGCTTCTCGTAGACGTCTAACATTTTGGGCGCTTCGATCTGTCCGACTCATTGTTTAACAGTATTGTTTATCAGTTAAACAATTGACTTGAACACATATTTCAAATAATCAAAAAGATGGCCATGTTGGTGTTAGATGACGGAAAAGGGAATAAAATCACAAAATGAAATATTCGTTTAAATGAATGTGAGGGAAATTGTAAAGCAACAAGGAAGACAAAAGAAACGAACGTCAAAAAATGATTTTCAGTTGTTAGTGTTTAGTAACTGCTGATTTTTACTTTTGATTTAATTTCATGTTGTTGTTGATCAGTTAGCTGGAATAACCGGTTCTAATAGTAAGGCAATTTCATCATTCACCATGTTGATCATCAGTTGGCCCACTTGTCGCTCGCTTTCCCCTCCTCCTCCTCCTCCTCTTCATCTTCATGTTTCTTATTCCAATCTATTATTTTCACTTCTTAATCTTTCTTTAATTTTCCTCAATTTATCTCTTCACATTCCGTTTGACTCACTCTGATTCCTTTTTCGTTCCCTTTCAGAACATGAAAATTTCAGCATTACACATGATTAAACAATTCGGTGAAAATGAACTGATAAGTCTGGACGGTGAGATTTGACTGATAATTAAGATGGAGATACAAAAATTACAGAAAAACATTTTGACAAAAGATCGATTTTATACTTTTCACGATAAATTATCGCAATAAACTGAAAAACTTTGACCATTGATCTTTAGGCCCATTTATCTGATGTGTCTGAAGTAAAACTCGGAGTTAAAGCTTGTATTATTATCTTGAGTTACATAGACACTTGGATATCCATAAGTGCAAGTTTCGAGTCTGTTCGATAAACTATTATAATATGAATAATCTCCATGAAGATAGCTATTATAAATTTTCCTGCAAAGTAAAGAAAAATTGGAGGATTAGAGGAACATTTTTATAAATGTTATTTTCATATGAATAACACGGAAACTTTACCTGAATTTAATTTCTGAAAATGCAATACAGTAGATGTAGAAATAAATTTTTATTACCTTGAAATTTCATTTCGTTTATCAGGGATTGTTTAATTTATTTTTTCAATTCAACTTGAAATATCTAGTTAAAGGCCTATTGTTTCAACCCGATCTGAATACGTAGGATGCTAGTCTCTTTCTGTTGATTTTCAATGGGCACCTGTAATACACTGTAATGATTGCTACTTGAAGTAGACGTATGTAACCAACCAATTCATATTAATAAGTTTATCTTCAGAATATCTACACTTGAAGCGCATTCGTTGACAATTGTGAGGTCAATCTACATGTATTTATGGTTTTGTTACTTTAAGAGATCCGTTGGTTACCCTGATAAGCTTCTGCAGCTTTATAAAATGTATTTCATTATATAATATTCTATTAAATCGGTGTATCAATATGTTATGTCGCTTTTTATCAGCCTCTGCTTGAATTTTTATCTGCTTTGACTCGATGGATTAACAAACTAACGTTAGAAAGATCAATGATGCTGGCGAGGTAAGTTAACTGCTCAGAGCTATGGACAGTTTTTTAGAATTATTTTAATCATCAGAAATATTAATCATCAATAAATCCTGGAAATAATAAAGAGAAATAAAATATAGAGATTACATGTAGTTTAGCAAAATTTTATGCTCAAATAAATAGGAAACTCGACAGTGTGACAGACCTCAATTTTGCCCATCTTCACATGAATAAATAATAATTGTTGCAAAGAGAGCCGTATTTTTATTAAAATAAACTCTCTGGCCATTCATGAATATTAAATCTAATCAACAATCAAGATAATGGCAGACGAACGTCTCGATTCATTATTTTATTTAATAAAGTTACTCACTGTGAGCAGATTTTGAATACTGGCGCCTAACAAAAATAAGAGGCTCACTTCTTTTTGCTCCACTCCTTCCAAGAATGTAAACATTGTTTGTGTCGAGTGTCAATTTGTCACTTAACGCAAACTACACTGACCAACTTTATGATTGATAATGTTAATTTAAATTGTGGCCATTATTTTTTATAATTGTAATAGTTGCTTCTGTGATTCTATGACCATCCATTTGTTGGAATATTCTTTGGATCAAGTGTTTTAGTCAGATGTTCATATCACCATAATATTTATCTAAGATGGATGGTACATCGGTTGAAGGAGAAGATATTTTAAATCATTTTAAAAGTGCTACAAGTTTACACCATGATCTGGAGAAGCTACAACAATCTCACGATGAGCTATTACACCAAGTCGAAGCAGAAAAAACCGCAAATGCTAAACTGAAAAGTGAATTAGAAGAATCTAGGTTGGCCCAAAGTAAACTGGAGGAACAATTGGCTGCTAAAGCAAATGAGTTGCTTGAATCTAAAAAGAGCATTGAAACCCTCACGCATAAATTGTCCGATTTTCAAGAAAGTACAGATAGAACGGAAAAACTAAGAAAGCTCGCTGTTAAATTGAAAAAAGATATAGCTCATGCCAAAGATGAGGTAAATAGATTATTTGGACTCTACTATAGTTCAATTTGTACTCGCAATTATCGTAATGCTAATTATGATGTGAATCTTTTTTATTATTATTTTATAGCTAGAGACAAGTCGATCCTCTGAAAATCAGGCCAAGGAACAACTGAAAGCACTACAAAAGGAACATGAAAAGGTTACATCTTCTTATCAACAGGCAATCAGAAATTTTCAGGTGAGATCATCACTCTTTTCGCATTCTGAATCTTGAATTATTTCTCTTATCTTATATTAATTCATTCTTTTTTGTTTTTCATTTCATGTATTGTTTACTTTTTGTCCGTTTAGACGTTACAAGTGGAATATGACAAACTTCAAGATGAATATGATCAATGCAAAGCCGGTGCTAAAACTATCAATACTGATCTGAGCAATAGTGTTAATGAGCTGGGTAAAGTTAAAGAAGAACTGGCTGAGAAAATGTTAGAAGCTGATAATCTTACTGCGAAAGTCAACAATTTAATGGAAGTTATTTCTGAATTTGAGGGCAAGTGCAAAGAACTAGAAAGTACTGTGATTGTATTAAGATCTGAATTGTTTACGGAAAGGAAGAAAGTCGTAGCTGGTATTGGATTGGAAAAAAGTCTAGAAGAGTACAAAAATCAATTAGATATCCAAACGAATACAATTCTTAACTTGGAAGAAATAATTGAAAAACTTAAAGCCAAGGAATCCGAGTACGATTCATTGAGACCCAATTATGAAAGTTTGTGCGATGAGAAACGTAAATTAATGGAGGACGTGAATCGTATGAACGAGACAATATCATCCATGGACGCCAAAATAGAAATGTTGAACAGTTCATTAGAAGAAGAGAAAATTAAATCGTCCGAATTATTTTCAGAGAAGAAAAATTTGGAGACTAAATTGAAATCAGTTGAAGAGGATAACTTGGTCCGTGTTAAGAATCTCTTGGAAGAGGTTTCCAGCCTAAAAGAATCACTTTCTTTGATGGAGGAAGAGTTGAAACGAAAAGATGACGAGTTTGACGCTTATAAAGCTAGAGTAACAAAAGTATTAAACCAAAACAAGCAAACATCGAATGAATCAGATGAGGTTAAGATGTTAAAGGAAAAGTTGGAGGGCATCGAGCAGTTAAGAAGTGAAGATCAGGCCAAATGTATAAAATTGAGTGAAGAGAAGTCACGATTGGAGAATGAACTACGCCAAGCTAATAAAGAGAAAGAAGTATTAATGAAAGATTTAAAACGTTCTGACCAATTAACAGAGGATAACCAGAAGTTGAAAAATCTTGCTCGTGATTTACAGGGACGTTTAGTCATGGAAAGAGAAAATCATGAATCAGAAGTGAAAAAGATGGAATCAGATAACAACTTGATGGTTCAAGCTCTTCGACAAGAAATAAGTGACCTGAAAACAAAGATAAGCTACCTGGAAGATGAGCTCAATGGTTGTCTACAGCAGGAGAAAAAAGATTCGACAATTGATAATTCATCTTTATGCCAAAGTTGTAAAAGCTTAGCGAGCCTTACTCTACAAGAGTCTTCACCCATTCCTAGTACATGTGATTATAATTCCCATTATTTGGATCATCATGATAGCTGTCATCCATCGTCGTCATCAGGCCAAGTAAATGATTTAAGCCGTGATAGTATTGAAACAAATTCACCCACCAATCTTGAGAGACACACAAGACTTTCTAGCTGTTCGTCATCCATTCAAAGCCATGTTAATCCTTTATTAGAAATCCTCAACTCAAAGGATGACTCTGATTCACCTCAATCTTCTAATCATTTTGAAAATAATCATCTAGATTCCCTCGATATTGGAAATTTCAAGAAACAATTGAATGATTTATCTCAATTGTTAAAAGAAAGTGAATCCAATAATGCTCTGTTGGTTGAACAAAATCGCGTTCTAAAAGAGGAAATCAGACGTATTCAGCGAAGTATCGAAAGAGCTGATATTGTGCAAAATATGGAATATTTGAAAAATATTTTGGTTAAATTTGTCTCTTATGATTCTGGGCGAAGTCAACTAATACCAGTTTTAAAGACAATTCTTAAACTGAGTAAATCAGAGGAGGAACTATTCACTTCTTTTGCTCAGAATTCAAACCCACACAGTACTAAATTAGCAATCGAAAATCAAGGTCTTAATCATTCAAATCAACAACTTCAACATCAAAACCAGAATCAACAGTCTGGTAACTGGTCAAGTTTCCTATGGCAAACTTTTTCTTAGCTTGTTTAATGATTAAACTTTAATTTAAATGGTTGGATAATTATTTGCATTGCCTTAATTGTTTCGGCTCTGCTTAATTTGGCAGTAAAATAAATATTAATTTTTTTCCACTACAAGCTTAATGTTTTTTTTTCATCGATCCTTTCAGCACCTCTTGCTCATTGATTGTTAATTCCAAATGGCAGAACAATGTTTATTAATGAAGAAAATTCAAATCCATTAAAAGCTTTCAATTAATCATCAGTTGCTTCTGTCACGTTATCGTGAATTGGATATAAAGTTGCGTCGACGCTCAGATAAATTATTGATCTTGCAGTCTTCACTGCAAGATAAAGATTCTGTTTCCCTTCTAATGCTATCAATCAGATTATTCTTTGTCTTATGCTGTTGTATTTCAAGACATTGACTAGGAATTGGAAGAGTAGGGTGTAAACTGTAAATTGTTAATTGTAAAAATTGTTAATATTACCATTAAGTTATCAATCAATTTCCTTTATTTTATTCTTTCATCCCTAGGAATGTCTTGCTCAGAAGTTTTACTTCTTTCCTCCCTTTTACTTGTCGATATTTCCACAGACAGTTTATCCAAATTATATTCAATTACAAATTAATTCAATCATCTATTGATAAACTTTTTTAAAAGCCAAGCTTAGCCAAATGCACATCATTAAACCGCATTTTTCATTTTGCTAGCCTATTGTATTTTTGCAGTTGTCAATGTCTGATGTCAATGTTGATGCCTATTGTATTTTTTATAATTCAGTGATCTAATTATTACTGTGATTATCATTGCTTTTCTCACAATTTTGGATTTGATTATTAAACAATAAATGGATTTTCATCACTACAATAAATGCTTGTAGCCACAATCCGATTGTAACAAGTTGTTTGATTCTTGCTGGTTAAATGAAAAGATGAAACTTAGCATAATTAGGATTAAGATTGAATAATTTCATGGATTCACTCTTTTCCTATTGATTCAGGCTTTTTTTATATTCGATGCAATAATAACAAAACATATTTCAATAAAAAATAATTCTTTTTGCTCTTTTCGCGATAATAAAATGACATAAACGATTGAAGTATAATTAATTTAATTATTGAAAAATTCGACTTGACAAAGTTAGTCGAAAAGTTAAGATGTTGGTATTTATACAGATTTGCAGTGTTGAGAATAAAAAGGCACCTTATTTAGGCATGTATTGTGGATTATTGTAATCGACAAAGACCCGAACTACTTCACCAGAGTATCTCCTCTGATGAGGCATGAAGTAAAAGTCCGGAGTTAATGGCTGCGGTTGACTAATATAACGGAATGTATTATTATCTTTACGATCATGAGTTGCATAGGCACTTGGATATCCAAAAGTGGAAGTTTTTGAGTCTGTTCGATCAACAGTTGCACTATTATAATTGGATAAACCATTTGTCGATCCTTTTGAACTCTTCTTTTTATTACCAGATTCTGGTTTATTGCCATTTCCATTCATTTTTGATCCAATTGGTTTGTAACCAACGCCATCGGGATCATCTTGAACTGCAAAATTTTCATAACTATACGCACTGCTTGTTGTGGTTGCAGAATAATCTTTATAATGAGAGTTAACAATGGCTTTTTCCTGAAAAATAAACAAAATTAGATTAGAATCAGATATAGAATGAATCATAAACAAACAGTAAAATAGAAGACAATTTACCTTAATCTTTTTCTCTTTGTTACTCTTTTCTCTCCAAACCATACAGAGAGCTTGAGAGATACATAATATCACTAAACTAGAAAGACCAACGATAATGGCGAGGTAAGTTAACTGTTCAGAGCTAAGACCAGCTTTTTTAGTATCACTTGATTCACCAGAAACATCAATGAGTTCTGAAAATAAAAAAGATATGTAAATAAGATTAGTTGATTAAAATTTCATAGTCAATAAGACAGAAAACTCAACAGGGAAACTAATCTCAATTGATTTTAATTTAGCACCAAGGCTCCTCCCTTACGAAAAAGGTGAAATTTTTCGTAAAGACTACTAAAATGGTGCTTATAATTGTATTGTACGAATTGAAATAATTACCTGGAGATTTAAAAATTAAATAAGATGGGTCGACAACTAAGTTACCGACTTTACCATCTCTAATAGTTTCATTGAGAGCCTCTCGTATACTTATTACGGGTTTGTCGTAACGAGCTCGAGATTCAGTTATATTGGCAACTTCTACTTTGACTGTAGCTAAAACACCATTTTCGCCAACACCAGAGATATCGGTGACTTCTATTTGCTTAGGAATTCTTCCATTGTCTTGTAACTCTTTTTCCAATTGATCTTCTAATTTGGTCATTAATTTTCGATAATCAGGAGAATTTCGCTGACCCAAACTAGATTTCCATGCATTTGGCATCTTGATTTCGAGCACAACCATTGTTTCGTCTGCAGATACTACATCATTTTCCTCGGGTTTAATAGTGGTAACTGGCTGTTCATCAGTATTACTAGATGCGGAAGTACTAGATTCGGGTGGTTTTTGAGTAGTTTTCTCACTTTGAGGTTGCTTGGCCTCAACAGGTTTCTCAGGCTGTGGTTCAGCTTCAATAGCTGGAGGCTTTACTTCAGGTTTAGGATCTTCTTCTGGTTCAATCTCAGGTTTAATCTCAGGTTTAGGAGATGGAACAGGAATAGGAGTTGGGGCAGGGGATGATGGAAGCTTAGGTTTGCATGATCTAATACAAACTCGATCTTCAGAAATGATGGGAACATCTTCATGTTTACGAATGCGTTTGTTAACAGCATTAAAAACGCCTCCTCGAATAGGGAATACAAAGTAAGGACATGCAGTATCGTTGAACTCAAAATCTTTAGGATCACTGGTCTTACGGAATCTGTAAAATTTGAGATTTGTGATTCCGTTTTCACGCCAAGCGGTGGAATTATGGATATCTTGTTTCTTATCCAAAGGTGGGCTTGTATATCCATCCAACCACGTGTCCATCAAAAAGAATCGACCTGACTCTTCAACGAGTCCAAGGATAACATCAGTGTTCGGCATGCGTTTATTATTAGAGAAACCAATACCAGTCCATCTGTTGGTATTTTTAGTTTGCAAATTGAACATTATCTCATCGGTGTCATCCATGTATTCCCAGGCTATCTGGTAATCACAGCCATAGCCAGTACAGTTGGAAGGATATTTCCATTCACCAGCACAAACAGTTCCATATTTAGTTTCAATTTTGTTGACTGGCTCAGGTGTTGAGCTAGGTTCAGGATTAGATTCAGGAACCGGATTAGGCTCGGCAGCTGGTTCCGGTTTCGGACTTTGTCCTACCTCTGGCACTGGTTTAGGTTCAGCTTCTGCCTTTGGTTCAGGCTTCGGTTCTGATTCGGGTTTAGGTTCCGGCTTAGGTTCAGGTTGAGATTCAGGCTTTGGTTCTGACTCTGGTTTTGAGTTAGAGAGCTCTGTGATAGCAGTCTTACCAATACCATTCTAGACATTGTTAAAACAAAAGAAAGATAATTTGAATAAGTTTTGATCTAATTAAAGTTCAAACATTTAATGAAGGCATGAACAATCGACTAGTAAAAAGACACACAGTTAACAACAGAAAACAAACTAAACTTTTTCCTCATGGAGTTTTCTTATATTGCCTAGTTTTAAGGAAACGGAAAAGATAGTTTAGGGGTTGTGTGTGCATTTCATTACTTATTGAAAATGATGTTTTTAGATGTTTTTAAGAAAAAATTATCCAGTGATTATTTAAAGATAAAAGATTGATTTAGACTCAACAAAATTGGATTGATAAATTGGAAGAGTTAATTCTTGAAATGAGCGAGCGGTAAAACTCAGAAGAAAAGTCAAATTATTTTGCACTTTAAAGTTTCTGCGATTTCGAAGAAATAAAAGTTTAACTATTTTACTAACTGCTATTTAAAATGATTAGAAGATCAATTTTAAAATAAAGTCTGAATCATTAAAGGAAGTAGAGTAACAAAATATCAAATGAATGAAAGAGATCAATTTACACTCAAGATTACTAAGGTTACTTATACCAAGATGTAGATTGTAAATGATTTGATTGATTAGATGTTAAGTTTAATTGCGTTGAAAAGGCAGAGAACAAGCTGAAAATGATGAAAACTGCAATCAAACCAAATTAAGCTATAATTAGAGGACTAATAAGGATTAATTTGAATATAAAATCTTACCGGTTCAGGTGCAGGTTCAGGTACCGGTTGAGGGCGACATTTAGCAAAGCAGATTTTGTCTTTGCTGATCATTGGCTTCTGTAAATGAGAGAGGATATTTTTTCTTGATGGATCAACAGGACCACCGGAAACAGGATAGAAAAAGTAAACACATTCATTGAATGATATATCATGTTTGGAATCTGAAGTGTCAACTTTCCGTGAAAATTTAAATGTAATCAATCCATTTTCAGCAAGTGCCGATATGTTAAATATAGATTGACGGAAATCAGGTTTTGGTGGAGCGTAACCGTCTAACCAAGCATCCATCATTAAATAACGTCCTCCTGGTTCAACCCAAGCAATAACGGCATCTGATTTGGGCATTTTAAGATCTTTTGAGAAACCAACTCCAGTCCATTTGTCAACGCGTTTGGCAGAAACTGAAAAGTCAATTCCATCAAAGTCATCGACATATTTCCATGAGAATAGATAATCACAGGCTCGTCCTTTACAATTAGCAGGATAACGGAATTCGCCATTACATTGAGGTTCAACTGAGGTTACATTTTTAACGTCAACAGCTTTTTCCAATAAAGGTGTTTCATAGAAGTTTATTTCAGCCTTTCCTCGTTGATCTCCATGTCCATGGTATTTAACCTCTGCTTGACCATAAAAGTTTGGATTTTTAGCCTTTCCTAGTTCAAGACCAGAGGCTGGATTGTGATTATAATTATTATGTTCTTGTCCTTTAGCCCAGATAACATCAATCGTTTCATTAATTATACTGTGATCAGTTAATTCTTCCGCTAAATTGGTGAGAAAAAAATAGAACGATTGTTAAAATTGATGGATTAATTGTTATATAATTTATCTTAAGTTAAAATTAAAGTCTCTTACCGATCAACTTTTTACGGAAAATTATTGTAGTCATTCCATTTGATTCAGATGCTACTGCAGCAGTTAAGTCGTCTTTACCGCCAAATAAAGAATCAAGTCTAGGTGTTGATCTATCTCGAGTATAGTGATCTAATACTCGACCATATTCACCAATGGCTGAACCAATAACAATATCATTACAATCCATTGCATGGAAATCAAATTTAGGAGTAAAATCTGTAGCCGGTGGGTAATCATTTTGCTGCCAGCCATTAGTAGCTCGACGAGGCTTAACTGGTGAGGCACTTCCAATGAAAGAAAGTTGAGGATCAGATTGTCTTTTATTTCTTATCTTAATTTCAGAATCAAGCTCAACAGGTGAATAACTTCCAGCAACAAACGGAGTTCGATCACTGGGTGATGAAGCAGAAACTTCTGGTTCAGGTTCAGGTGATGGCTTAGGTTCACCCTCTGGCGTGGGTTCGGTTGAAACAACTTCAGGTTCAACTTCTGGTTTCGATAAATTTTTTGCTAATACCTCAGGCTCAGATGCAGGTTCATTCTCAGGCTTAACTTCAGGTTCTGGCTCGCCTTTGGTGGGTTCAGGTTCAACTTCAGCATTAGGCTCTGGAGTAGATGCCAATGAAGCTTCAGATGTATCAATTGACTTAGAATTTCTAGTTGACGATAATTTTGCCTCTGGTTCAGCTGAAACTGAAGCAACAGTTGCAAATTCTGCGGCAGGTTCACCAACAGCTGGTTCGACGGAACTTTCAGGCACAGGTTGTTTAGTCACTGTTGGCTCAGATTCGGGTTCCCCTTTAGGTTCAGGTTGAGATTCAGGCTTTGGTTCTGCCTCTGGTTCTCCTTTAGGTTCAGATTCTGGCTCACTTTTAGGTTCAGATTCTGGCTCACTCTTAGGTTCTGATTTCGGTTCCCCTTTAGGTTCAGATTCTGGTTCTCCTTTAGGTTCTGGCTCGGGTTCAGATTTGGCTTTTAACGAGTCAGAGGATAATTTTGGTTCCGGCACAGCTTCAGCTTCTGGAGTTGCTTCACTAGTCACAGAACTAGTAGGCTCTGATGAAGCTACTGGAACTGATTCTGGTTCAGCTGATGGTGACGATGCAGAAGTCAAGGGACCTCCCAATAAAACCTCTGAGCTTTTAGGTTGACGCGTTCCATTGATATTTTTAGGAGCATTACCAGCATCAGGAGAAATCCTGGAAGCTGCATTCAGACTTCCTGATGAGGGCACTTTAATTTTCTTGAATGTCGGTGAAGATTCATTTGGTAAATTATCTGCTCGTCGATTTGCCAAATTCAAATGATTCAATGGGAGAATCGAGTTTCGTGGGTTAATTATTTCAGCTCCCTTTGAGTCAACAATATAAGGAAAAGCTTTACATGCTTTGGTAATATTTTGAGGTCTCCAACCAATAGCCGCATAACCTTTACCCTTCAATTTGAGGACAACTTCAATCTCTTCTGATTCTTTGATGATTCTCCAGTAAAGATCATAACCTTTGGTCAATTCTCTATGGTTATGATTTTTTATATCAATTTCAGTTGATTTTATTGTAGACTCTGTTAAAAAAGACAAGACAAAAATTAAAATGGTAAATATGATAATGGTTAATTAAATGAGTGAAAGTGAAAATGAAAATGTTAGGATTAAGAACGAGTTTGGGTCAACAATTAAGAAGGACCTTCTCACTTGAAACAGAACAATCAAGATCAACAAAGCATATTAAGAGTGAGATTAAGCAAGGTAAGAAAACATCATTAGATTTTAATTGTTGATGTTGGAATGGTTGTAGAGATAAACTAATTACTTAAAAAGTTGATTATTCATAATACCTGACAGTTAAACCGCTTCCGCTATTTAAACGGACTAACCACAATCATTTAATATTAAGAGTAGTGATCAACAGTTGGTTAAATATATGATCAAAAAGTGAGAAAATTCAAGGAAGAAACAAAAAATTAGTTGAAATGGTCAAAATTGCAATATTCAATTTTCAATCCACTTATGAGTTGTGAGATTATCATAAATATCAACAATAAAAGTTGAAGATGATTTTTTTGTAATCAAAGTTAATTTGTTTCAATTAACATTCAGTATTCCTGTTGGAAAGCAATTTGAATATGAAATAAGATGATGTCAACAATATTACAAAAAATGTAATCAAGTTTAGGGAAATCATTTTAATTCACCATTTCTATGTTAAATTGGATGGCAAGTAAATTACAATTTAGGAAGATAACTAATTTTTTAAGAAAATTTTGGACTAAAATAAACAACTACAATCTGATGAGTTTGTGTGTGTTCTGTGTCAATGTGTTTGCAATAACGTTAATTAACATTAATATCATTAAATTTGCGAAGAGAGATGATTAAATAATGATGATAAAATGTTTATTGCTGGTATAGCTAATAATCTGGGAATTGCTTCAAGCTTTTCTTTGGTTAATATTATGTTTGTTTTGTTTGAGTGTTCACCAGAATGAAAGAGTTAATAAAGATTACTGAATTTGGTTCTCACAGATAATTGATTTCGGAAATTTGTCTCATTCTAATGTGCAATTCAACTTGACAAACAAACGTAAAATCGTTTCAATTGTTGTCTTAATATTCAACACAAAAAAATCGCTAAAGACAGTTAAGACAAAAATTCACCATCAAAATCAGGAAGATCACTTGATTACCAAGAAAATTACACTTTCAAAGCTCATGTTGATAAATTAACAATTTCTGCTGTTTATAGAATCAATAAATCACTAATAATAACTCTCATTGAATAATTGAAAAGGGCAAAATTTGAGAATCAATTAATTGTTGATAAACGCTTGGCTTCCGTTTATATGACAACAATTATTGGAAGAATTTAATTTGATTAATGGAACTCCATTATTAACCCATTTGATTATCTTGATTTCTTCAATGTAAGTGTCTAAGTTGAACCAGAAGCTAAATAATGAAATGGTAAAAAAAACTAAATATTAATGATAAAGTGGCAAGGTTAACAATTTAACTTTTGATTAGTTTTGTTCAATGATTAATAACATCAAGGTTAATTGAGATAAACATTACAAAATCTAAATGGCTAAATAACTAAATTAGTAACTATTGAGAGATTTAATTGAAGTAACGTGAAGAATCAATGAAAGTAAGAAATGGGTTTGTAATGGGTAAACTTGTAATGAGATTTGTCAGTGAAATGAGACTAACATTGAAAACAACAATTTAAGTTTACTCGATTTGGTGACAATTCAACCGAATCATTAGTGATCAAATGCATCTCAACAGCACCATTAGCATTACAGAACCGATCTTGATTGTTAAATAAGTAGCTATAATTTAAATTGAGCTGATTATGTTGTGAGAAGTAGTAAGTGGCACCAACCTTTTGAACATTTTTCACCAAACCAACCAACTTTACAGAAACACTGCCTAGTTGGATAAGTACCATTCATACGAATGCATTTACCACGATTACCACAATCATCATCGGTCCAGCATTCATCTAGAAAGAAAAGAAAAAGAAAATTATGTTAATTTGAATTTTTTACAAAAGCAGATTTGAAAGTTTGATGAAATACCATTAAACACCATTACAATAAGCCTTTTTACAAGAGCATCATCACACAACTCAAAGCTTACTTACATTGAAAAAAAGTCAGAGGATGAAAAGTGAAAGTACAAAAAAGCTCAACAAATATGAAGCCAATTCTTCATCTTAAAAATGATGATAATAACGTTTCTAAAGATGATGATGGTGCGAGTGGTAAAATAAGTGAATTTAACAATGAACCTTAATCAGAACATATCATTTTAAATCATAGTCTTTTGTGAATCTCAACATTTTCTGAGCAAAATAAAAGAAACCATTGACCGCCTACAAAGAGGACGATTCATGATTAAATTGGCCAGACTTGGTGTATCTTGATCAAAAAGAAGGAAAGTTACAATTGACCAACCGGATTTAACTTCAAATGTTATCAATTACATGATAGTTGCTTCACTCTGAAAATTCTTGAGCTTCATGGAGAAAAAACTTGAACATAGCAACACATGACACAATAGTCTTTATACCAAAAGAGCAAGCATAGGCCTTTGAACTTGAATGGTCCATTGATTAGAAGCTAAACACGATTAAGATTGAGCTCAAATAGTGTTGACAACAATTAACATAGGCAAATTAAAAATTAATTAAACGTTGAACACACAAAATTGAAAAACAAATTAACTATAAATTAACAAAGTTGGGTTAATAACCGGTAAATGGTTGCTCCATGTGATTAACAACACCAGAGCCATCTTCATCTCATTAATGCAACAACTCTATGGATATTAGTTTATCCAATTTTTTATATCAAAGCATTTCTATTGTTTAATTTAATAAACTAATTTAAACCTTCAACTGTCTGTAGTTAATAGTTTAACTTAATTTAAATAATACATAAAGTGCACACCTAAAGGTCAAATGAATCTAATTTACTCTCTATTAAGGCCTGGTTAATGGTTAAACAAGGAAGGTAAAATTTTGGTTTAAAAGATGAATTGCTTTTCAATAACATTGAAGAGAGTTAATTTGTTCAATTTCTTAATTTAATCAATTCTACACTGATTGTTAAGTAACACTTTGCACTTGTAATGGTTATAATTAATATGAATTTTCAATAAAAAACGACTCCTTTAGCATTATCATTAGTGGAAAGCAAAGAAAAGACTTTACTTTTATGCAAATCGTGAAAATTTTGACTTTTGATTCACACTAAAAATCCTAATCACAATTGATTTGCATTGATGACAGCTTAATATTTACACAAATTAGCATTTATTTATTATAATACTTTTGCCTAATTGACTATTAAATACTGAAGTAAAGACAAATAACGCTAATTTACATTCCAAGTTGGCACAAATTTTTAAATGTTTACTGTTAATCAACGGATGAAAGGATAAAAGGAACGCTTTAATGTGATCAAATCCATTGAATATTAGATAAACTGACAAGATGATGATCATAATTTAAACACAAAAAAGTGCTCAAAATCGGGTTTCGATTTTTAGACCAAAAAAAACATTCGATTGATGAAGAAAAGCAAAATCTTTGTTGAAGCCTTTCACCATTTACACTTTGAATCCTTTCAGGTTGTTGAATAGATTGTTAACAATTTGCTGATGATGATTGCAAAAGACAATGAAAGTTTAATTAATTACCTAAAAATTGGCACACAATTCCAGAATAAGGTCGATTACATCGGCAAGCGCCCAAATCCTTGTCAAACTTTCCATTACCTGAGCAAACGGCATTTTTACTTGTAACTATTGATGAAACTGTAAAGGAAACAAAACAATTAGTTTACTATTGTTGGAAATGATTGTGATGATTAGGGCGATGAGTTATCCAACAATTGATGGAAAGTTAATATTTAACGAAATTTCCTTAATCACTTTCAACAGGATTTAAGGATCGCAACAATTGAATGGAAGGGCATTTTCAAGGTAAACAGTGATGACAGTGAAAATGTTAATTAACCGAGGAATCAATTGAATAGATTGTCAGGGTTATTGGCGAAAAGGAAGATGAATCTGAAGAAGATAATGATGATGAGGAAGTGCGAATGAAAATGAATGTGAGATCATTTCAATTGTTTAATCATTGAAACTAAATAATTATAACAAATATCTAAAATCAGTTGGCCAAGCAAATTTCATTTCTCAATGTTGGTCAAACATAATTGAAGGACAATGGCTCTTGTTCAAATGCCATGAAAACCATTCAGAACTTTACAAATTCATCGAGTTTCTGTCTTGAAATAACAAAGCAATTACAGTTAGGATTACAGTCTTTGACAAAATAATGACTCAAACAACGAAATAAAAGTTGTCTTTGCAAATTCATTTTCACCGAACAGTTTGAGGAAATTTTGAAAAAATCCTTTACGAAACCAGAAATGTATCTTAGGCTATTTGAAGCTAAAAAATCCAGTTTTGAGTTTGATTTTTAAAAAGCGAAATCGATAAGAAAAAGAAAAAAGAATTGAAAAAATCTGGTTTTTGGTTATCTTTTGGTGAAATCAAACCCAACTTCACTGATGATAAATCACAGTTACTTCAAATGTTATCAGTTCTTGTCTCAATAATATTGCAAAATAACCCGATAATCTTGGCTTTTCATATAAATGTAAAGTCAGAGCCAAATTGAACCTAACATTGGATTAGAAAAGCCAAAATCTGAAAATAATGAGCTTCATTTGAAATGACCAATAAAGGTTCAGCTTTTAATCTAACTTTTTGTTAACATGATTGAATGGTCAAGGCTATAAGATGAAATTAAGAAGCGAGAAAAAAAACAACTTAATCAAGTTAACCCTGAACATTGAAGCTTACAAAGCAAATGAACAAACTGTTATTATCCTTATTATTGAGTTGATTATAGTTGCTACTGATGATAATTGTTGACCAATATGAAATTACTTTCATTATTTACCAAAATTATGCGATTTCTCCTTAATTTTAATCCATTGTGCCTTGGTTATGATTAGGGAATAAAGTTAATTGAAAAATAAATCTATTTTTTCTTAACTTATTGCAACAAATTGTTTACACTGATTAAATGGTCGGAACAACCTTGTACAGATTTGGTCAATCAATGGTTAATTGTCTGAGCTTTACTGAATTTAATCGGACAGCAACAAATAGACTAAAAAGATAAATCAATGTCATTGGAAGAACCCTGAAATGAAGGGAAAAAATCTCAGCCGAATGTTGCATTTCTAGTCTTAATGGTAATCAAAATGATTAAAGAGATAATAAGTGGTAACAATTTGTTCATTATTCATCATTTAAACTTGATTAACTATCAATGTGAGCTGTACTTTGATTGACCAACTCAAGTTCATCTTAACACCTTCAATTCTTCTCCATATAAACCATTAAACTTTTTTTTCCTTTTAATTAATCTTCTTCTTCTTCCATCCTAATCCTGTAATATAACATGATGAGTTTAATGCAAGTTGAATGGTAAAGCTTTAAGATGAAAAATGATGAAGGTAAAGATGGAGATGAAAGAGGTTGAAGAGGAAGAGGAAAGTTGAATGAAGGTTGAATGATGATAAAGATAAGTAGGAATCATTAACTCACCAGGAATGATATCTACATCAGCACAACTCCAGAAGGTATATTTATCGCCCCATTCACTGGCCTGTCTTAATAGTCTAATGGTGCACCCACGGCAAACCAGAGTTTTGGGTAACGTTACAGGATAAGATTGAGTTCTGTGTAAAAGAGAAACAATTAATTTCCATGAATCTGACTAGAATCTGGTATCATTTGACGAGTCAACGATAATTATTTAAATAAGTCTGATTAAAGGTTAATGTTGATCATTTTACAGTTGCCAATTCAACAAGTGGATCAATGATTTTTGATTGGGTTGAGACAAAAGAGTGACAAAAGTGAAGATTTGCTATTCACGTTCAATTGTGATCGTTGATGAAAACCCAGTTTACAGTCTGCTAATCAATTGAATGGCACCCATTAACATCATTTAGTCTAATCATTGAAACCAATTAAACTTTTGCTGCTTCAGCATCGTTTGTTGGTTTTACTCACTTTCAAATGTACACCAAAACAGGTGAAGACAAAAAAACAAGGTTAACACACAAAATGATATACAAAAGTATATTTTTCAAGTTACTGTGATTTAATAGATTGATCCAAGTTGAGTGTGAAAATTGGGTGAAAATACAATGTTCAGTATTATCTCATCTTAATCTAATATTTAGTTTCAATAGTTTCCAATAAAAATGAGAAAATGAATTCTTATATGAAATAATGTAAAATAAATGAGCCAAATCATTGAGATAAATCTTTCTTTTTACGGTTAAAATGGTAAAAATGGATTCATTATTGGTTTATTTATTATCATGACCTTACAAATTGAATTCACAGGTCAATTCTGGGAAAACACAAAATCTTGATATTTCTTATTAGATTCAAAGTTTGCCTTATTGATCAAAAAGTCAAAGGATTCATCATTAATATTGTTGAAATTGATTCAACTGATTGAATGGTAAAGTTGATTGTGACTCGTCTGTTGCTTGAAGCTATCAACGATGTTGGCGGTAAATTGTCGTGATTTTTGACCATCAAATGCATACAAAATTGAAAGCAAGTTGGAAATTGATATTAACCTTGAATTTGAGGTTAATTTAAATTGTGAGGTTAAAGATTTATTGACTAATGAAGAGGAACCGATGACAACTTGCTCATCATGATTGGCAGATTACCTATTATTTATCCTTAAATAAGTCACCTGAAATCATTGGATTATCTTTCTTCAAGCCGAGTACGCCTCTCAACAATCAAGAGGCTCAACGGATCCGGTATCATAAAATACCTGAGCGACCTCATTTCGTTCAAGCCAAGTTAGAGATTGATATTTTGTCGGTTTTTCATTCCAATAATCAAATACATTTGTTACCCTTTTTGATTAATACCAAGACTATTATTTTATCACGAAAATTAGTATCGATGCAAATGGTAATGATAACAATTTGGTGACCATTTTTGGCCTAAATAGATGATAATAGATATCGAAATGACCATCAAAAGTCAACATCTTCAATCAACACATCAAATCAAACCAATCCTTTAACATTAAACATCATTTTACGCTCAATAATATCAATCGTAATCACGATTTTGATCTGAAAGTTGAGCCAACATTAACAGCAGAATTTGAATATTTTTTTTCTTCTTTAAACTCAATTTTCATGTTAACAAATGAATTCAGCTACTTGTAAGATATAATTCAAGGTGTTGAACCAAATGAGATTTGACAATTTAATGTCCATTTGCAGAGCAATGATATTCAAATGTAAAAAAGTTGATATTTCATTGACTATTAATCAGTCCATTAGAAGGAAAACTCAGTGTCAATGTATATCATTTGAATGTTGAAAAATGAAAAGTCGATTGAATGATGCTGATAATAATGATAATAATAATAGTAATAATGATAATAAAATGATAGTGAAAGCAATTGGTTTGTTAACAGCAACAACCTGAAAGAGTAAATTGTAATAATTGCTTCCGCAATTGAATCAACTTGAATCTTGTTATTACAACTGCCATTAGTTTAACATTTACAACATTTAAATAAGTCTATTAGGTTAACCATTGCAATCAAAAGTGTTTCCATTTTGTTCATCTTTCAATCGATAATTTCAATGAAAGCTATCATTATTGGTTATATTTTTAGTGGTTAAAGTTGTACAATTAAGATTATTTTGCAATGAATCAATTGATTGGGAATCACAAAGTCAACCAGAGCATTACAATTGTCGGTTCATTTGCTTGATCAACATCTTTCACATCAACCTAAATGAAACACATTTGATCAATTGGTAAATACAAATGGTCAAAATGGTCTTACAATCAAAAAATATCGAGGAAAGCATTTCTAATTGATAGTTGAAACAATCGGGTTAAGATTAATTCGTTTGACTAATCTGACCATTTATCCTTTAGTAGAGTTGGAAGCAGTTTTAGTCACATAAACTGTTAATCGCTACGTAATGCGCTTACATTTGGATAAAACTTGAGATCGATTAAAAGCTTGGATAAAACCTTTTCTGCATTAATCTTAAAAGTCCATGCAGTTCGAGTTTAATCATTTTCTTGTTTTCAGTAATGACGATGATGAATTTGAACCTTTAGTCGATATACTTGGAGTCAAGTTTAAAATGTTGGTTTAGACTTGAAGTTACAAAAGTTGTAAAAGTGATTTTATGAGCAAACAAATGTGAAATCCTTGAATCATTTGAATACAAACGTCTGAGGGAATCCCATTGAGTTTCAATTGAATATAAATAACTTGTTTCGACTACTCTTTTTACCTGTTTAACCATTTAAAGTGATGAATGATTATTAGACAATGGGTTTGATGGTCAATCAACTAAACTTTCAATTATCTTGCAAGGTATAACTGATCAATTTAACAAGGTGATAAGGCGTTAATTGATCAACTTCCAACGGATAACCAAATGATCAGTTCATCAGCAAATCATTGGTAAACAATAAATCACTGTTTCCATGTAACCGTTCAATTATCCTCATGTTTAGGATTCAAACTGTTAATCAGTGCAATAGTTTTCACTGGCAAACGTCTAATTGTTTCAGAGTTACTCTCTTGATCAGTGGACCTTGTGCTAGATATGCTTATCTGATAAGATGAAAGATTATGATTAACAAGCAGAAAAATATTAATCTGAAAAGCAAGTAAATAAGGTGAAAGCGAAAGAGCAAAAAAAGTTGAATTTCATGAAAACAATGAATGTTTTTCAGGTAAACAGTAAAAGTAGCAGCAATCATTTGATCGAGAAAAAAAGATCAACTATTGAAAATGAAAGTGAAAACGCAACAATAATGGAAAAGAGAAAAATGGGAAAATTTTTCAAGGTTGATGGTCTTCAATGGTCAGTTTTGATCAGTTGAAAGGCAACATCACAATAACAGGCAATTGTAATCAAACCAATAATTGGAAATAAAAGGTTTGTATTGATAAAACTTGTAACGTTGAGAATGGCTAATAACCAGAAAAGGTTAAACTTTTTTTTCTCTCCATTAAATTGGCCTAAATTTCATCAATTAATGTCTCATTTTCAATCAAAATTGCATTTACATTAAAATCTGGTCAAACCTGGAAAAAGAAATTGAAAAAAATTCTTTACCCAAAATCAATGTTTTCATGATTCTTTTGCTTCTAAAGTGTTTTTTAGCTCACCAAGAATGTCTTCAACTTGGACATTGATAATGAAGTTTGTAATCGCCAATGAATTTAATTGAAGGTCAACCAATTTCAAGTTGTTGCAATAAACAAATCAAGTTAAGGTCAATCTTGATACAATTTTACCCGAGGCTAAACTGGAAGGGAAACATTTCCTCTTTGGTTAATATGATGATAAAAAGATGATCATTTCATTCCAATTTTTTGCTCTCTTCTCCATCTTCTCGTCTTCCTTATTTCTTGTTATTCAACCAAAAATTAGGATGAGAGTAAGATGGTGAACCTGCAATGACATGTTTCAATCAACATTCAACACTTCAATTGCTCTTCTCATCTCGTTTTTTCTTCATCTCTTTTTTTCCTCTTTTTTCACCTTTTTTACCATCTTTTTGCCACCATCTTATTTCCCAATGAATAACTTTGATCTTTATAACAACCAATATGTGTTTACCTGTCAACTGAAAAGTGTCTTGAGAAAGAACTTGAACTTATTTTTTTTTCTTCTTCTTCTTTATTATTTCATTAAACTGTGGAGAGAGAAAAAAAGTGAAAGAAAATATCATTCGAAGAAACAAAATATTGTTGCCGGAAAAGTGGTCTTCTTGTACTAAACCGGTTTGTTAGTCAATGAGTTAATACACATATATTTATATCAATTCATGATCTTGCTCACTGAGATTTGAAACAGATTGAAATGTAACAGGCAAAGCAGGTTAAACAATTGAACAAAGATCAAAAGCTTATTGGTTTGAACCAATAAACAAATGAAAAGGTTAACATTATTTGATTGACCTTAACTTTCATTGTTATTGCAACGGCAACACGTTAAACATGAAATCAATTAAATGCACATTATGTTAATCAAGATGAATGATAAGCAAAACAATTTCATTTTCAAGAAACAAAAATCAATTTTCACTAGCGATTAACTTACATGATCGAGTTACAGTTTGCACACTGAATCTTGACAAAACTCAAAACATTTCATTGAAAGTCAAACACTTTTTTTCTGCAAAAATTGTGATTCTGATAAACATTCATTCAACTTTATCGACAATCAACTTAATGAGCCACTTTGAATGTAAAATGAGCAATTAGTTGAAATTGTGAATCTTTATCATTATTCTTGATCTGACAGAACTTTGCTTTTTACTATTAATTTGCAACTAAAATGAAACTTGAAAATTGATCTGAAAAAGGTTAGGCTTACAGGGAACAGAGATTATCATCTAACAGCTATTATTATCTTCATTTTAATTGTAATTGGGATTCATTGAATGTTATGGTTGAAAGAAGGTTTAAAAATGGGATTGAAAGAGATGAAGATGCTGATGAAAGAAAAGAATAACGAAGATTGTAAATTGTTTGTACAAATTAGTAGACCAAGTATGAAACCAGGTAATCAGGACGATAACAAGGAATCGGTTACAGGAAAAAGTTCGAACATGAATACAACAAATGAAGATGAAATGTGAAACAATCCAA